ATAGATAGATAGATAGATAGATAGATACCGTATGGCTAGATAGATAGACAGATAGACAGATAGGTAGATAGGTAGATAGATAGATAATAGGCAGATAGATAGATAGATAGATAGATACTATAGACAGATAGATAGATAGGTAGATAGATAGATAGATAGATAGATAGATAGATAGATAATAGGTGGATAGATAGATAGATACATACATACTGTATGGCTAGATAGATAGATAGATAGATAGATAGATAGATAGATAATATGTAGATAGATAGATAATAGTTAGATAGATAGATAGATAGATAGATAGATAGATAGATAGATAGATAGATAGACAGATAGATAGATAGATACTGTATGGCCAGATAGATAGACAGATAGACAGACAGACAGACAGATAGGTAGATAGATAGATAGATAGATAGATATTGTCAAATGGTTGTTTAAAATGTTATGCTATCCATTGTCCATTTATTCTGTAATAAAATTAACTTTTATTTTTACAGTGTGTATGCTAATACATAGTTTTGAAAAATAATACTTTTTAAAATATTGTAAAATATTAGACACAGACTCATATTAATAAAAATACACCAGGAAACATTAACAATGCAGTGTTCCTTGTACCTACTGTAACTTCATTTCCAACTCTAACTTCATTTGCTGTGTATATGCAAGCTAAACTGAGATCAGATCAATGTTAATATTATTAAAAAAATATTTGAATGTTATATTTTATGATAGTGTGTTGTGACATCATTTTTCTCTCTGTTGTTTAATGCATTTATGATTTAAAGTAGACTTATCAAACAATAATAAGACATTGTTTTAGTAAAGGATAGATAGTTTAATACATTTTAGACAGCCCTTTCACATTGTGGGGTTTTTTTTTATAGGGGGATGTGCAAATATTTTGAGGATTAATACACATACACAGCAAAACAAAAAGTTCCAGAGTGACTTTATAGCATTATATAGGCTGTTACAAATGAAATTCCAATGTATCTTTTGTTTTCTATAGTTACGATATGATCAGAATTTTACAAAAAACAATATTAAAAATTAATTCACTCGATTTAGCTGTGTTTTAAGTCCTCTATGGCCATTCCATGAGTATTTTGGCTCTGTTCCTGGTATCACATCTGGAAAACATCCACAAAATAGGTAACAAAACACCTGATATGTTGAAAAATCTGCACTTAGCAAAATAGAAATTGTTTCCAAAAATTGTTAAAATGATGGCGTGAAAATTGTTGGCGATTCATTAAATGAATAGCCAATGATTTGTCCACCCATAGTAAGTTAGCTCCTGCTTCAGTGATGGACACATGCTCTAAAATGACTTGCATGGACAAATATATACACTCTAAACCCAAATAATAAATAAACATAAATATAATCTTGCCCTTATAGTTAACCAATCTTCATATAGAACTACTAGTCTTAAAAAATATGGGGAAAGTAATGCCCCTTTTCATATTTCTTGATTATACAATATAAAGTATGAAACATGCCAAAAAACTATTTGCAAAATTTGCACACTATTATTGCATGCTTGATGTGATACTACATGCCAATTAGTATTACTGCAGTTCTAGTAAGACCATTAAAGAAAAATAGGTCTTATATCAAAGCACTATATGTACAGTACAGTCTTTACTACCTCATCATTAACACTTTTGCCCAATCTATGTTGTATAACAAGGAACCCTGCGTTATGGCAAGATCTACATTAGATCGATTCCTTGTGGTTCTCCTCCATATTTAACTTGAGGATTTCTTTTCCAAACCATAGCTTTGATAAATGGCTAAAAGTTAGTGTTATGTAAATCGATCTGAATTCATTTTCCGTAATTTGGGTGGTAAGTTTCCATCCATCCTACCACCAGACAATCTTTGAAGCTTTGGTGGCAAATCTGCTACTGATTGACTCATTGGATCGCACATCATCTTTGTGGTTTTAAGCCCCAGTTTCTCTTCTGAATTGCCAGGAACTGAACTAATTCTTTGAAGTTTCATTGGCAAATCTCCCATGCTATATGCTTTCTCAGACGTTGTAGAACTCATTCTGAGAAGTTTTTTTGGCAGGTCCTCTCGACCAGTCATTTTCTGCAGTTTGGAAGGGATTTTTGTACTAATGTCATCGAGACTGTCCAGACAGTCTACTGAATGAGTTTTCTCTTTGCTGTTACTTACTGCTGGTGCTATTAAAGGAGAAGACATTAGAAGCATCTCTTCTTGCTCTTTAACACTATAAGGTGCAGTTGGAACTTCAAATGTTGCATGAAACTGTGAATAGTCTACTTTGAAGAATCCTTCTTCCAGGGATATCACAGGAAAAAAACGATGACCCCATAACACTTCATCTTCTGTGTACGATGTCCGTGCTTGGCAAGTCATTCCTAAAGTTAGAGAAAATATATATAAAATATAATATATAAGTACTTCATAAAATCAGTCAATTTAATTAATGACGATGTTCTTTTAAAATATATTAAAATATATTAATGCACTGTGATTCAAAGTTTTGTTTTCCATATATAGTTATGATATTATTCTTCGATTTGACAACAAATATTTACTGGTACTTGCAGATTGACTTGTACTGAATGCATACTTATTATTACTCTTAACATATTAAAATAATTTTTATCTTATCAACCCATAGTACGTCTAGCCATAATAAATCTTGAAAATATTCTCAGAGTGGACATAGATACATAATTTTAAAACCCTGTGATGCTAACAGCCTATTAGATTACAAAGACATATTTTGATATCAACATTATACCAAGTAAAAGGAAATATGTGAAAATCTTGATCAAACAGAATGGCAACTATGCAACAGAAAATAACAGTTTTTTTTTTAAAATTAAATATAATAATTTATTATTATTAATATTATTATTATTGTTATTTATATAGCACAATGTACTCCGCAAAAGTTTACAAAACTAGAATGGGAATATATGATAACCTATCTATCGATCTATCTATCTATCTATCTATCTATCTATCTATCTATCTATCTATCTACCTATCTATCTATCTATCTATCTATCTATCTATCTATCTATCTATCTATCTATCTATCTATCTATCTATCTACCTACCTATCTATCTATCTATCTACCTACCTATCTACCTATCTATCTATCTATCTATCTATCTACCTATATAACTATCAACCTATATTATCAACAATACAGTTGCATTACCATTACTAAATGTTATAAGAATATATTTATGGGTCTCTATATAATACAATTGCTAACCTGATATGTATTCAGCAATAAAACATACAACGTGTTAAATTCATGCCATGTTCTATTCATGTCCATCTGCTCACACCCATGTCCTTTCATATGCATGGCTTTAATGTGTGTCAAAGAGTTTATACTTGAAATTACCTATTTCCAGAAAAAAGGTCACGTCAGAAAGACCTTTACATTTTTCTCCTGTTGTGAACTCCAATTTTAGCTAATGGCAATGCGTGCTAGTTAAATATAATTCACAGTATGTAGTTGAATATGGATTACAATATTGCAGTAGTGACATATCAATAGCCTCATATGAAGTTACACACGGTTAGATCCAAAAATGAATCTTGTTTTTCTGTGCACATTGCATTTGCTGTAATATGGTATTATAATAAGGTAATATGGTTGCACATGTTTATGTAACTGGCATAGTAAATATAATGAAATACCAGAAATGAATCTTATTTTTGAATGCACATTTATTTTTGCTGTAATAACATATTATACTAAGATAATATGTTGGGCATGTTTATACAACTGGCACAGTAGACTTAGTGTAACAATATCTATGACCTAAGAAGATATGTGTAGAAGTCAGTTTTTTTATTATTCCTTTAATACCATTTATTTGTCTTTACATAAAATAACCTATTGTGCTGATTGGAAGGATAGAGGCGATGTTAGATACCAATATAACCTATCTCCTCTGTGTGCAATCAACTGTTTAATCATCTAACTATAGGTTCATTTTGGTGGTGATATGATGTTTATGTGTGTATTTTCCCTAAATATCAAGTCATCATCAGTTTTCATTCATTTGAGATTGCAGGGTTCATTCATTTTTTATTTGAATTAAATATTTAGGTTGTTTACGGTGTTTATTTTTGCACATCTTATTTACAAAAATTTAAAAAAGAAAACATTTAGCAGTTAAAATAGAACATTGGTTATTGCACAGAATACGGAGAGATGACATACACAAATTGATACAAAAAGAACAGGGAACCCATCGTCTCTTAAACTGTGGAAGAACAGAGACTTCAACAATCGTAGATAAGGTACAATAGCTAGTAAGGCATTAGTTGTGTACTTTACTCATTTCTATACCAACAATAACAAGCTATATCACATATAAAACCTCAGATGGTATAAAATACTAAATACAACACTTTCATTGATCGTGTCGTTCTTAGTTTAAAACAATCAGTTTCTGTAACTTGAGTAACTATTTCAGTAAAGCAAGAAATAAATGCAGTCACTTTCCTTCAGAATGGTTATTGGACACAACTTTGTGGTCTAGCCACCCACAGGTCAAGTTGTATTCCTGAAATATAAATATCAATCTTACACTGAAGTCTACTATTATAATTGACTCAACTCAGAGACTTTCTTAGCTCAGCTCTGCTTGTGCTTGACAGCCATAAATAATTATACTATCACAAGTTAGCAATTAATTATCGTCTTTAAGACAGTTTGAAAGCTGACAAGCTCAACCAAGCTAGATTCATCAATGAAGTCTTTGATTTTAAGGGTTGGATGTGCTTGAGGTCATGTCTTGAATAAACATACAATGAAAAAGTCTGCTGAGAACATTGGGAAATGGAAAAACTATTTCTAAATGACGTGAATATAGGAGCAGATGAAATCTGCAATATTTTTAAAATAATTGTTCAAATAATGTTTCTTCAAAAAGTACTTGGAAAGTCAGACTTTAGGTGATAGACCCTTTGATCTATTGCTTGG